ATTTTTTTCCTAAATTTATTTAGTTATTTTGAACAAATATTTATCATCAAAATTTAAATTTAGTTTGACTACATAAAAATATGAATAAATTAATTCAACTAAACAAGTCATTATGTTGTTATATAGTTTAATGTTTTTGAATAAATGTATATTTGGAAAGAAAATGAGAAATAAAATTTAGGAATATGGATACCTGCTCTTAATAGGCGAAATTGCAGTATGTAGCATTAATTTGACGATGTTAAATCAAAAAAAGTACTTTATAATGTAGAAAAACGTAAATATCCAAAAGTCCTTTTAGTGACGAGTTTAAATTTTATAATTTTGTTTGATTTGAACGTTAGATGCAAAGAGTTTCGGATGTATTTTAAAATGTTCAAAGCAAAGGGAATTCGGTTCATTCGTCTGTCTTTTTTTTTTTATCGAATTACATTATTAGATAACGTAATAACGAAAAACACCTTTTTCATAAATTATACAGATTTTGACATCCCCAAATTATCACGATTTTTCTTCAAGAGTTTTTTCATTCCGATTAAAAGTTAATTTTATTGCGAATTTTAATTTGAACACTTAAACATCAGAATTCGAGAAATCCATATAAATATAATTGGGCTGCAATTTTAAAATTGCCGATCCACGTATAAATTTTCACTGGCGTCCGTCTGACGGTCTTCTGTTGTCTTTCTTAATCTCGAGAACGGAGTTATATAGATGAAAGTCGAGGCCAGATGTGGAAAGCTTAGGAGCCAGAGGCACCGATTAACTATATATGAACTTTCAGTTTTGATCGAATGTCATGCTATTTCTCCAGAACAGAGCTAGTTAGATGACTGGCATGACTTTCTTGTTAACAGGAAAAGTATGATGTACGGGGGCAAGACACTACTAACATCTAGAGCATTGTGCATCGATGTGAGGTTCCGGACGAGGTCCGAACTTCGCACTAAATTATGTTTAAGAGCTTTCCACTCTGGAAAGAAATTTCATAAAATAAACAATACGAAGAAAAAAAATTAATTGATGTAAGTCTCGTAACACCTGAGTTTACGTATCGGACCAGAAAGAAAACTTTGATTTCCTTTCTTAAGTCCGAATATCTCGACGAAAAATTCTGACGGCTAAAAAAAAAAGGTCAACAAGTAACTGTGCGATTCGAGTTAACTCTCCATTACAAATGTCTTCAGCACAGCGTAGAATGTTGATAATACATGATAATGTGAAAAATGTATCTGTAATCTCTATGTACAATTTAGTCTCTACGGGGTGACACCCCAATGAGATCTCGCACAACCTCAAAATCTTGCTAGGGCAGCCTTTGGTTCGGCCCGTGAAAAAATTTTTCTTTCGAATTAGGCCCGGGGGCAAAAACTATTGGCCACCCCTGATATAGATTATATTCTGTTACCTACAAATCTTACTAGCTTTGCAACTCATTTCTATCGTTATTTTATCTACCATATTTTAATAGGGTATAATAGGATATAATAATAAAATAACGATAGTTCAACACGAGTCTGATAAATGATCTGACTTATCTAAGCATGATGCAAGATGAATTGATAAATTTGATAGGAAATGAAATTTTAAGCAAAATTGTCGAAATAACAAAAATCGCTACCGTGTTTCCCCGAAAATAAGACAGTGCAGCGATTTCAACTTTGTGAAATCTATGATGCATTATTCTAAATAATAGAAGACGTCAACATAGATGCAGAAACTAAAGTTAAAGCAAGAGGATTAGCAAAAAATATTAAAAATTACAAGTTTATATGCGGTGTAATTCTTTGGCATGATATTTTATTTAAAATAAATTTAGTCTCGAAGCTATTGTAATCTGTAACTATAAATTTGTCAGATTGTGTAAGAATGTTATCAGAAACCATACAAAAAGTAAAAAGTAATAGACAATCTGGATATGGTCAGATGAAAATTGCTGTTAATGAGATTGCAGAGAATCTTGAATCCAGTACAGAATTTCCTGCCGAAACTGAAGTTAGAGCCAAAAGGAAAAAGCATCAATTTGACTGAAGAAGCTGTGGATAAACTCTTAACAGAAGAGAGTAAATTTAAAATAAACTTTTTCAATTATATTCTGGATATTACCTTTAATTCTCTGAATGAACGATTCACGCTTCTGGAAACCCATACCAAAAATTTTCAGTTTTTATACGACATTTTAAAACAAGGATTTAGATTTAAAAAAAACGCTAGAAAATTATTGTACCAGTCTCCAGTCAACACTTTCGGTCGAAAATGAATCAGATAAAAAAGCAAATGATCTTCAAGAAGAATTGTGTGATATATCCCGAATACTAGCATATTCTATGAAACCTATGTTTTAAATAATTTGTGCCAAAATAACTTAATTACTTTGTATCCGAATACTGTTGTAGCTCTGAGAATTTTATTAACACTCCCTGTCTCTGTAGCTAGTGAGGAAAAAAGTTTCTCCAAATTAAAATTAATAAAACACTACTTAAGAAGTTCAATATGTCAAACAAAACTTAAAAATCTATCATTTATTTCTATTAAATCTACATTAGTTGCCACTCTAAACTACACATCCCTAATTAACGAATTTGCTACAGTTAAAGTTAGAAGAGTAAAACTGTAGTTGATAGTTGATATCAATATTTTATAGTAGTTTATATTTTCAAAATAAAAATAGTATTCGTACATTTTGTGCAGTTTTTAAAAAAAATCACAATCGAAAGTTATTTTAAAGAAAAAAGATTTAAGGGGCGGCATTTCGAAGACTTGCGTCATACTGAGAAAATCTACCGCACGGCCCTGCCTCCACCGCAATCCCGACGCAAACACAAATAGGTCACGTGATTAAAAGATTTTACAACCAAGCTTTTTACGCCCGTTTTTACGGTAGTGGCCTAACGCGTAAAGTTCTATTTTCAACAATACGTTCGAAGGACTTTTAGAGACACTTTTAGAGGCATATAAACTATTTGGAAAGCGATGTTTTTCTCGAGAAATAAAATTGTTATCTTAGGATTATTTTGAAAATTTATCCTTCCGTTTGTTTCTTCAAAACTATAAAACATTTAAAAAACCCTTCCATACGTAATAAATACAACTAATCCGGTAATTACTTCAAATATCAAACGAACAGACGGATTTTTTTTTTATCGAGTTATAAAAGCTAAATAAGTAGTCAGACTGTCATCTCACTACGTAGCGAGGGGGGATAAGGGAATCTATCATGCCCCGGGCGCCACTCGCAGAAGAGCGCAAAATGGTCTCCAAGACAAACAAGATTTCTTTATGGAGGGGAAGGGGGGTCAATAAAGTGTCGTGCACTGGGCGCCAGTTATGTTCGCTATGCCGCTGTGCCATCCTGCCAAATTATTATATTTCACAAGAGATGGAGCCCTGCAAAATTTCTTAATAAGTATTCAGTCTTACCTGATGAAGAACTCAGACTGTTCGTTTGATTTGGCTCTTGCTAGATAGAACTTCGCGGCAGGCTTTGACAGGAAAAATAATCATTCAGAACTCATGATACGCCCCCTAAATTATTAATTGAAAGTTTAAAATATTATATGAGGTCGTTTCCAATTCTATCCGGAATTTCTGTAATGACAATGGAATTGTATATATTCCGTTGTTTCAATTTGTTTCTTTCTGTAGAAACTCTCCTTCCACGAGTGGACACTTCTATCATTTTGGAAATAATGATATGCCTGCAGAATAGAAACATTTTGGTAGGAGCCTCCGGTTTATTATGCAGTATTCTGACTATTGTAAGGTTGCCGACTTTAAGGGAAAAACAATTTATCTCGCGTCAGAATGAGCCTAAGGGAAACCGCATATGTGGCTGGTGGCAAAGGAGGCAAATGAAGAACAAGTGTTTTACAAAAGAAAACCCGTTTATTTGTTCGAATTCATGCTTACACCGATATTGGACAATTCTAAATCTCGGTGCTCCTGTGAACGGCGAAAGTTCGGGTGATCGGTCGTAGCCCGGGCGGACGAGAAGGATCACTGGACGATACAGATGTTCGTTGTTAAGCTGCTGCGTCCTGGGTGATCGGCGGTTGCACAACACAATCTAAATCACGACGGTAGGCTTAATCTAGAGGAGACTCTTTCGACCTTGAAGTTCCAATTTTTTTAGTTTTTCCCCCACTGTTCGCATTTCGGATTGGTCCCTCGTCCCATTCCTCGCTTCCCGATTTGTCTCTCCTTTGTCTCCAGGTGCAAGACGAAACTTTTTCGGGTCGCGGGAAAGGTCCGATTCGAGGTGTCCATCTGATACCTCTTTGTCGACTCTGCTCGGTGACTATTTATAAAACAATAACACCTGCACTCATAACTCAGGCTGTTGTTTACCATTTCTTGACGTCTAAGAATTTAACGATCATTTTCACCTTTCATCTATCAAAAATTTCCCTATTTTTTTGTTCGAAAAGGTTTATCTCGGCCAACATTTTATAGACACGCGAGTCAAAGATCTACCTGTTTATGAGCGCTCGTGTTAGAGTTTGTCTTCCACTAAGACCTTGACAGATAGTTTGACACATACTCGAACCGTTCCGAGTCTCGTTGTTTACATTTTGTGTCGAGCAAGAATTTCACGGTTTATTCGAGTTCGAACCTCGTCTGGGAACTCACACTATGACTAAATTAAGACTATGTAACACATACAGTTTCACCCCATTACTGAAATTCACGACAGACGATAAATATCCCTTGTATAAAAATTATAATAAAGTGTTTTATAATTGACAAAACTAATTTTGAAAGAAAAGAAACGAAAGAAAGAAAAGAATTATGAGAAGCACTGTAAACGCATATATTGTATAAGTATTTATCATCGTTATCATCACAATTAAATTTATGAACTACATCCATATAAACATGTTTAAATACGTACAGTACAGTATATGTGTTGTATATATATTTAAATATATGAGTAAAAATTATAATGTATGAATTTTTTTATATTGTTTTATGTTTTCTAATACGAAAAACTTATTTTATAGACTGCGGTAATTAAAGTTACGGACTTACAGTCGATGTCCCATATTAAGGAAACAGAAAGGAATGATTTAGACAATTTAAACTGTTAGTATCTTTTAATAATAATTATATTATAAAAACAAATAGATTAAACGTGAAACTTACAATTATTAATGGAAACAAATTTCAGTTGCACAACTGAAGATCACTCAAAGTCACACAGTCGATATGAAAAGTTATTACGTTTTAGGTGGAGTTATTCATATTGATCTGTTTACCATTCCTCCTTTACCTGTTGTTTCGGGATGTTGGATTGTGCAACAAGGTAAAATTTTTAGTAATTTTAAGAATGAATTTCCATTTTATTTTAGTTTAGTTTTCCTTTTTTTGTTTTTTTTTTAGTAGAGGCAGAACAGGTACCGAAACATAAACCATATGATGTAAGCGGCTTAATGAAAACTGAAACGGAAATAAATCGAAATTTAACAGACAATACTGAAGAAATAAATGACACTATAATTGTAACTCTACGGTATGTGATTGAATATTAAGAAAAAGTTTTTATCTCTGTAGTTCGAATTATATTTTAAGACTGATAAATAATTTAATTGTCGATTTTCTTCGGATTGAATTGATTCGATTACTAAAGAAATATCTGTTTAATTTAATGAAAAGTTTTGAATTTTACCATTTGTTAGGTATACCAAGTAATAAAATCAAGTAGTAAATTGAATAATAAAATCTGAAAATATAATCGGAAAATATTCAATAACTTCGTGTAGTTAAATTTGCGGTCTCCTTTAATTTATTAACATTTAACCAACATTTATTTAAACTCTCCAAACATTAATTTAAAAATTTTTAATTATAATTAGGCATTTATTATCATGTTTTTATTAGATCATTTTTATTTTTAGTTTAATTTGATAAACAATGTTTAATCAAATCAATGTGTAAAAATGTAGAAAAATTAATTTTTTTCTAAATTTTTATTATAATAATATGTTAAGATTTCTCAATATTTATTTTTCTAGATACACAATAAAATACGAAAAAATTTTAGTCTAAATATTATTTGCATGATTTCATAAGTGTATAATTAATCAAATTTCAAAACTTTCACTAGAATTAATTCACATATAGTAATAATTTTGTTTCATTTTTATCATTTGTTCTGTTGATTTAATGCAAATTTTCTTAAATATACAGTACAAAATAATAATGGTAAAAACTTCATAACCTTCTCGACTCTTTAATGTTTTAGAATATTGACGTCACGATAAATCCAAAACTGAGAGCAAGAAATTTTTATCACATAATTTTTTGGATTGAACTATGTATATTTACGCGATAACATTTTATGAGAGAAATAACTTTACAAGGGCAATGAGTGAAGATATCAAGAGCGATAAAATATCAATATACTCGCCAACTATCGTTGAATGCTCTAGCGAGAAATTTTTTAAGACATAGAAGGGAGGAAAGTACACATACAAAAAAAAAACGACGACATTAATGTCATTGCAAAAGGTATTAAAGTAAAACTAGTGATAAGAAAGGTTAAAGCGAAACTGTAACATATTGTGCTAATTTTCTTTTGTTTCTGTTAGTGATACTTACAGTACAGTACATAGTTATAATACAGGGGTGGGCAAGCAAGAGTTCAGTGGGAGCCGAAATGTAGGTTTTGCAAAATGCATGGGAGCCGCAGTTCTGTACTTTTTTTATTCTGTACGGCGATTTTATTATTTAATATAAATATAATATAAAACAAATGTTATATTTTCACAAAATTGTGGAAATAAAATTGTAAAAATAATAATAAAAAGCAGAAATTAACACCTTCAGCAAGAGCGGCATGTAACTCAAAAAGAGCCGCATGCGGCTCTCGGAGCCACATTTGCCCATGTCTGTTATAATATCTACTGGTTTATCTGAATATCTATACTATATATCAAATTAAACCGAAATTAGTGAACTGTGTAAACGTTATATCTCTTACATTCAACATTTCGTGTTTGTTTTAGAATATTTAGTTTGTATTACACTTTAAAATTTTATTATGTTCCAAATTATTTATATTTCTAACAAAATTCATATAGTGTACAGTACATATAATTGTATAATATAGATATTTCGACTTTGAAAAAATTCCTTCAGTGATAGTAATAAATGGATTTGATTTTCGGATTTATTGCATCAACTTTATGTTACATCAGTTTACTAGGTTCAGGCAATGATACCAAAGTTTGAATTTACAGACTAGTGTAATAGATTATGATAGAGAATAAAAGTAAATACGAAAGAACATTAATTATAATTTTATATTTAAAAATACGAATAATAACAACACTATAACACTTTATTTAACATCGATATACAATATTTATTATAACTGAAAGAAATTTGCTATTTTAATTGGGACACAGATAATTGGTTAAAATATTTATGGATTATAAAATTTATTATACGGAAGATTATATAATGAATATAATGAAATTTTATGTGTTATTTTTTTTCTGAATTAATTAAGTTAAATAAAACTGTGAGACTTATCTGTAACTAATATAAATAATTTGAAATATTTTTAGATTACCCAAACACATTATTTACTTACATCAAGTACAACCAGCTTTTTGGAATGAAAAATCTTCAGTTTGGACTACAGATGGTTTACAAGACGTGGAGTTCCATAAAGGTAAACTTAACGCGGCATTAAGTTATGTTTAAAATTTAAGATAAATGAAAATTGTCACATATTTTATGTAGAAAACAAACTCCTTACTTTTAAAATGACGCATTTTGGAGTGATTGGAATTATACAAAAGAAAAGCATAAATTATCCTTATCAGGTAAGTAAATATAAAAACATATTACAAAAATTTACTGTATTCATTTTTAAGTATTTTAATTATTAATTTATTACAGTTTTGGGAACTGACGCNAAGAAAGAAAAGAATTATGAGAAGCACTGTAAACGCATATATTGTATAAGTATTTATCATCGTTATCATCACAATTAAATTTATGAACTACATCCTGAATGAACTATTTTTTAATTACTGTTCGCTTCTCTTTAATAAAGTACCGATTTTTTCCAGTACTTCAGTAAAGAGAAGCGATTAAAAATTTTTCATTAATATTTATTTATTTTCCAGTTCCGGTAATATTTCTCAATTTTCCGTAATAAATAAATATTAAAGGTTTCAGTTATATTTGCATTTTTTACCACTCTCCTTAACAGCCAGGAAAGTAAAAGCCAATTTTTAAAAACGCTTTCGATTACGTTGAGCGGCATTATTTAAATTCTTTATTGCAGCTTCTTTTTCTTTTTGACATGCATCCAGAAAACCAAAAATGAAAAATATAAACATAAATATTGTTGAAGGATGTATTACATTACGCCGCAATTTTCTAAAAAACAGTTTTAAACCGAATAGAAATTCGAGATCTAACGTTAATTTCATATTTTCTCACAAGAGGGCGTTATGTTATCTTACAGCAATATTTTGTTGTTATTCTATGCTAAAGAAGTACCGTATTAAAAGGTTCGTTTGGTGTCATTTTAATAATTTACATATTTTGATTAATCAATTTCTTAATTACTAAATAATAAGGACTTTTAAAATCATAAAGTGATTTTGTACATTAAGAAATAATTTGTTTTGTTCATTTTTATACATTGGTTGAAATTTACAGGATATTTTTTAGTTATAAAATAGATCGAGAAATCTACAAATATTGCAAAATTAATAGAAATATGTTTTCTATTTAGATACTTCTGTGAAATGGTGCTCAATGGGTCAAATATCTTGCATTGAGAAAGTCTCTGAAGATTTCTACCTTCAGTCTGTAATGAAAATTGATTTAAGTTCTCTCACATACAGAGAATTTTTGCTTCGAATTTATGAATTAAATGTAATGTGAGTAACAGTTCAAACAATGCATAAAATTATTTCCACATTATCTACAATACTATTTACACCATTACTAAACCTTTAATGGTCAAATTTTACCTATGTGCACCGTTGTGACCACGATAGAGATTGTTGTGCTCCCAACCGACTCCTTCTGGAGGGGAGCCGCTGGCAGGCCGCTGAGTGTATAATGTCACTAGTTATTGATTCATGGTAGTTCTTGAATACATGTATCAATAACTAGTACGTATCAATAATTAGTGATATTATACACTCGGTGGCCTGCCAGCAGCTCTCCTCCAGGAGGAGTCGGTCGGGAGCACAATTGCTATCGCAGCCATGACGGTGTACATAGGTAAAATTTAACCCCATTAATTCTGGTAATATAGTGTTTAATAAGATATCAAACTATAATATAATATAATATATAAATAATGAGTTGTTTAATTAACTGTTAGTGCTGCCATGGTCCTCACATAAGTACCATGGCAACACTAACAATTAAACAACTCATATTATTTATGGTTATATGGTATTCTCAAATAATAAGTACGTACAAGTGGCCTTATATGTATATATTGAATTTACATAAATGCCACCATTAGGTTTAATTTTGATTTATGTTCCAAATTTTTAAATTTTAATGCAATTAAAAAACGTTTGAGTCCAAGCATTCCATTTTTGGAATACAATTTGTTTAATAACCTCAAGCAGACCTTTGTCAGGAAAAATAATCATTCAGAACTTATGACAAGCCCCTAAATTATTAATTGAAAGTTTAAAATATTATATGAGGTTGTTTCCAATTCGATAAGGATGAAAGTGTTAGTTTGATATTGTATTAAATGCTATGTTATGTAATGGTGTTTATTGGTACCGGTAATTAAACTAGAAGATATCATTAATACTATTTGTTTAAGTAGCCAAATTAAACATATTTTAAAAAGTCTAATCATTATCAAAAATATTTTTGTTTGGCCAAAGAAGCGTCTTCAGATATAGTATATAACTTTGACCGTACGTAATCCATTGATCAAATAATAGATATTTCTTTGTGATGCTATTTAAATTTAACGATAATATATTGTTTCATAGTAAATTTGTAATTAATAATTAATATTTTTATCTATATAGAATGAAAATTTTGTTTTTGTTTGTTATTTTAATAATTTAATCATTATTTTTTAAATCAGAGAGGTTTGTATTAATAATCCACAATATCACATGGTATCTGAATCTTTTAGATTTATTCTAAGTTGATGTTTCATGATAAATGAATGTTGTTTTAATATTAAAATTTTCATTTTTAATCTGATTCTGATTAAATTTTATAGTGCAACTCGAACACCAACTATATAGTGTATTCACTCGGACACAAGGCAAATCTCATCATTAATTTTTATTTAGTTGATACGTGTACTTAATGTTTGTACTGTACATGTTTCGGGCTATTCATGCCCCTCCTCGGTCAACTAAAACACAAATACATCCTTGTTACAAATTACAATATATAACTATCTATATCCTCCTCAGCAATATTAATTATAAAAATAAGAACACACCTGAATTCTATCTGCTGAGTTTTTTCTCTTTATACAAGATATAAATAAAAGGTTATGCTGTATGAAACATACCTTCAAATCACAGATCTTTGTAAACTTAAAACCGTTTTTAAAAACACTTCTATACATTTGACCCTCACTGTTAATCAACTTGTTATCTAATGGGGAATTATACATTAATTATAGTGTTAATTTTATTTCAGTAACAATACTATAAATTTTCAATAACATTACTATAAATTTACAACAACATACCTAGATTTCCATTTTACATCATTCAGATTACTTCTTATCGTACAAACAGATTTTTACTTGTTTTTTACACCTATATAACATTTCTAATTTTTTTATGCGCATGACTTTGTTCATTTACATAATGATGTGTTAGACAAGCCACCTTGTGGCAGAACACACATTGAAGAGATTTTAATTTTTTACTTAATTTTGATTTTAATGTTCTTAGCTAATTTTCCTCATTTCACACAGAATTATTGCTTATTTTCATTTATAATATGCCAAGCCAATTTTCGTTATTTTTATACTGGAGTTTTTATTTATGCATTTCTCACCTCTACTGATCTCTAAACTTTCCTTAAACTTCCTATTATATGTTTCTTTTCTTTATGAAGGATTCCTGCATTATCTTTGTCTATGTTACAATTGTTCAAAGTACAGTGGTCATGAAAGGTGGAATTTATTCTGTGGTATTTTAGATCAGCTATGTGTTTCTTTAGTCTGACTTTTAACTTCCTTTTGGTTTCTCCTATGTAGTATTTATTGTCTTTGCCAGTACAAGGAATTTTGTATACTACATTCCTAATTTCAGTTGGTGATTGTTTTTTTTTAAGGGGTTGAGACATTTTAATCTAGCAGACATTTTTTGGCACGATGATGCAAGCTTAAAGTTCATTTGTTTGGTTTCTTTATTGATTTTTTCATATAAACCTTTGATGTAGGGAAAACAGTATACTTTACATTATTCTTTTGTTTATTATTATGTTATTTTTGGATTATTTAATTTAAGTTCCCATTTATTCAGTAGCTGTTGTGGATAACCTGCTAAGAGAAATTTCTTTTTTAATTCAGCCAGGTCTTTAGTTATATACTTCTCTTGACTTGTTTTATTTTTTATCTTAAAATATTCCATTTTAAACATATTATACGAGGCGTGTTTTTAAAGTAAGTACCGTTTTGAAATATAAAAAAACAAGCAAACATTTTTAACAAAATTTTTATTTATGTGAAAGCCTATATTTTACACTACTTTTCTACATAATTCCCATTAATATTGAGACACTTATCGTATCGTGGGACCAGCTTTTGTATTCCATCCTCAAAGAATGTTGCCGCCTGATGAGACAACCACTGCAGAACGGTCGTTTTGACTTCGTCGTGATTGTTATGGCGCTGCCCTGCCAGATGCTTCTTCAAATGCAGAAACAAATGATAGTCACTCGGCGCTAGGTCGGGACTGTATGGAGGGTGGTCTAATTGTTCCCAGCCAAATGATGTGATTAGGTCTTGAGTTTGATTTGCCGTATGTGGACGAGCATTATCGTGGAGCAAAATGACACCCTTGCTCAGTAAGCCCCGTCTTTTGTTTTGTACTGCACGGCGCAGTTTTTTTAAAGTCTCACAGTATGCAGCTGAATTGATCGTTTCACCATGAGGCAAAAAATCAACAAGCAACACTCCGTATCTGTCCCAAAACACCGTGCACATGATTTTCTGAGCAGAAATTGTTTGCTTGAACTTGACTTTCCTTGGAGATGATGAATGTCGCCATTCCATGGATTGTTGCTTTGATTCCGGTGTAACGTAGGCTACCCACGTTTCATCGCCTGTAACAATACGACTTAAAAAATCATCTCCTTCGTCACTGTAGCGCTCAAGAAAAGTCAATGCACTGGCCAAACGTTTGGTTTTGTGCTCCTCCGTCAACATTTTCGGCACGCAACGGGAACACAACTTTCGATAATTTAATCGTCCGGTCACAATTTCATAGAGAACACTTCTTGAAACTGCAGGAAACTCTTTAGATAAAGATGAAATCGTGAATCGTCTGTTCTCTTTCACTCTACAGTCCACTTTTTAAATCAAATCGTCGATAATGACTGAAGGTCGCCCACTTCGTTCCTCATCGTGAATGTTTGTGCGGCCATTACTAAAGGCCCTAACCCATTTTCGTACCATTCCTTCACTCATAACGCTTTCACCATAAACTTCACTGATTTGGCGATGAATTTCAGCCGCTTTCGAGCCTTTAGCACTGAGAAAACGAATAACGGCACGCACTTCGCAGTCGGCGGGATTCTCAATGAGCGGCGGCATTTCAATAACACACAAACAACAGTAAACACAGTCGATTGGCTCCGTAATGGCGTTTGTGGCTTCCCAACAGATGTAGGTACACAGCGTGCATGCGCTAAGTGCCGACTGCAGCGCTCCAGCGGCGTTATATTAAAACGGTACTTACTTTAAAAACACGCCTCGTATTTGACATTGTAATGGCATGTTAGATTGATATTTTATTGTTATTCTGCCTGAACCTAGCTTTTTGAATGTTCTAAATTCCAAATTTTGTTTTAATCCTTTTATTGTTATATCCAAGTAGTTAATTTTCTGACTGGTTAAATCTTCCACTTCTATTTGAAATTTTATCGCTTTGTGTATGTTATTAATTTGTTTGCTGATCTCTTCTATCTTGATTTTCATTTTATTATATATTATTAGAATATCATTGACGTATCTTTTATACAATTTTACACCTTGTATGTTACTGATACTATTATCTATATCTATCATGATTAGTTCAGCCAACTTTGGCCCTATTACCGATCCCGTGCTTATTCCATTTATCTGTGTATAATAATCACCATTGACTTCAAAGTAATTGCTTCTATATGTGAATTCTATTAAATTTGTTATTTCATTTTTAACTTCTAGATTTTTTAGTTTATCTTCTATTAATTCCCATTTTATTGATGGATACATATCGATAATGTCAAGGTTAGCTAATCTAGACTCTCCTTTTATACTGATTTGGTTTAGGTCGTCTATAAGTTCATCTGTATTTTTAATTAAGTATTGTGAGTTTTGATATTGCTTAAGTTGCTGTTTTAGGAATTTTTCTAGGTTATATAGCATGGAGTACTTAAAATCTACAATTGGGCAAACCTTTTTTCCTTTGTGAGTTTTGAGCTGTATATTTAATTTTGGTGTACAATCATTTCCTTCATTTAAGATAAACTATTTTTCAGTTTTATTGATTTCTTTTAGTTGTTCCAATTTAATAATTCATCATTTAAGCTCTAAATATATAACTTCAATAGGGTTTATAGGAAGTTTTTTAAATTTTATATTATTTATTATTTCTTGTTTTTTATTTTTAACCCATTCCTGGGTAGCTATTACATTTTATAGGTTTTTCTTCTTGGTCTCAAA